AGTTCTCTTTCCTTGCCTATTCTATGCAGCACTTCTTCGTTTGAAGTATGCGATGTACATGAAATTTTGAGTATTCTCCGGTAGATTCACATTTCAAAGGCCTCCAATTTATTTACGGTTGATGTTTTAAGGATCCACGTTTTAACTGCATATAGAAGAGTCGACCAGATGTAGCATTTTGATAAACGTAGCCGAATTTCGAGTTTTATTCGAGAATCACAAAGCAGTTTTTTTATTTTTTCGAAAGATTTTCTGGCCTATTCTAGTTTTGATCTTATTTCTAGATCAGGATTTAAATACCAGGTACTTAAATCTATTGACCTGTTCTAAAATGTGCTCATTTATTGTGCAAGGTTGAGGTACGTTTTGGTTTTTTCGGATTGACATCACTTTGGTTTTTTTAATGTTTATTTTCATACCAATTTGCTCACAGGTCGAGTTGTAGAACCTTCGATCCTAACTCTGGCTTTTTGGTTCCAGTACAAGTTTTTTAAGAATTTGATGTCTTTCCATCTAAACCGACTTCTTGCAAACGTTCTAATAGTAGGTCGTGTCTTACTCTATCAAATGCTTTTTCGAAGTCTATAAAGCATATAAATATATCTTTCTGTTGGTCGTAGCATTTTTGGGCGAGAACTAGTAAACTGAACAGGGTTTCTCTCGTTCCCATGCCGGCTCTGAATCCAAACTGATCGTCTCCGATGAAGCAAGCAATTTGATTGAACCCAGCCTATGAGACATGTTCACCCAGGTAGTACGATCGGGTGTAACAATTCATTCGAGCAAGGTGTTTTAATTCGTGTTTAAGAAACAGGAATCACCCCACCGTGCTCCAATGCTCTAGACCATCCCTTTCCCCCCTATAGCAATCTGATTCGCTATAGAGGCACAACAATCAGCCAAGTGCTCTTCATGTGGAGGTCCTGGGTAATTGAACCCCAACATGGTTTCCTAACCGTATGTGAAAACTCAGGACAGCGCATCTCCGCTTTATTCCTTCGTCTCCGATGATTGTTTCGCACTTTCTATATATACGATTATGTACGATTTTTAGTAGTTCTTTTACTGCATAACTCATAAGGCTTATCAGACGGAACTCATTGCAGTGTTGTGGGTTTAGCTTTTTTGGTAGTGGGATGAATATTGACTCCAGCCAATCTTGGGGTATTTTACCTGTATCATAAATGCGATTGAATAAAAGGACAAATATTTCGATATTTTCTTCGCTGATTAATTTTAACGTTTCTGGGTATATTCCGTCTGGACCTGGGCTTTTATTTGTTTTGAGATTATTAATTGCATTTATGATTTCAGATTTCAGAATTGCTGGCCCTTCGTTGTTATTTTTCAATCTTGGTTCGTCTCGTATGCCGTGAAAAAGAATTTTAATATAGTTTTCCCATTCTTTCAGTTATTATCAACGGTTTTTACCCCCTCAATGTTGTATTATTCTATTGTTTTATTTTGTGGCTGCCTTATTTCTGCGTTTTTTACTTACATACATATATTTTGTTTTGGTCTAATTGATTTTAAGACCACTTTTTTGTGCAGTTCGTTCTATTTGGTTCTATGCCTCTATCATTTCTCTTCTTGATCTTGCGATTATGTCAACATCATCTGCTGTTCAATTTACCAAGCTTATACAGTTACTACTAAACTGTTACTTTTATAAAACGTTCATTATATGGTTCATGTGTCATAACATATATGATCATGTTATATACTTGGTTACTCTCCAATAATTCTATAGTATTTCTGTTTATTAACAGTTTTAAAGAATTTGTACTCATTATTTTCGAAGATTACCAACACATTTGCGTTTTATTCTAGTAAAAAAAATAATTTCTTTATTCTGAGAAGGACATCAAATTACTTTAGTTCGTCTTTTTTCCATGGCTTTTCCCTTTTTAGGTGTCGGTATTTCTGACTATTATTCGCCACTTATTCCTCTCCCTTATATGTCTTCATCATTTAAATCATTTTCTCTTAAGTCCTTGCCACAGAGTCCTTCCATATTTTCCTTGATTTTCCTCTTCCTTTTAACACTTCACCACCGCTACCAACGCACGCCTGTCACTTTATATCTTTCCTTTCAACCCTTCAAGGATTACTGAGTACCCCGAATATCGCATTGTTTCACTGCTGTTTTTATTTTGATTGTGTTTCCGGTACCTCCTTCTACTATAGTAGTTGCTCGAGACCCTCCACTTGAATTTTATAAAATAATTAGTTTTTGCTGGAATGTTTCGATTGTTCATATCCTCTAATAATTTATTTCTTTCGATGCAGACTTTTCTTATTTCTTTATATTCATCATAATTTTACAACAAGCCATACATATTGTGCTTATATGTTCTGTCAAATATTATTTCAATGTGTCAATCAAATTATACATATTTTATTTTCCATATTACTTGATTGTTTATAAATATAAAATCCCTTTAAATCGATTTCCTTATAAGAAAACGCACCTTTAACAAGGTATAATACTATTTACACCCTTGCATAATATTACATAACCTAATTGTTACGTTTTAAGGACAATTGCTATTTTGCTCTTTTCTAAATTCCACAAAGACATATTAAAGGATATTCATCCTATTCAAATTTGACGTCATTTCAATCTTTCGGACTTGTATTGTGGTGGATTACACAACACCCGTAATGGGTGGAACTTTATACAATAGGCTCAAGTGTAGTTAATAAATCTCCATGCACTTCCTGATGAAAACGATACTGACACACTCTATCCATCGTTGCATAATCATGTAATAATTTATTGACGCAAATGACCCATCTCGTATTTGATGCTCAAAACTGGACGTATTCGCCTACACGGGTTGTTCTTGAAAACTTTAAAATGGAGTACTGGCGTGTGTATGTTACGCAACAAAAAGCTGTTTATTATCTGATTTGGCCTTTATATGTCAGACAATTATCTCTTTTAGATAAAACAATACTCTATTATATATATGTATCCAACTCAACGTATTTATCCAGCATATTTTTTCATCATCTTTAATTAAGTAGAATAACTATATAAAACACATGGTAGAGGAATGCCCGATTAGATCCTATAATGGCAACCCTTCAGATTTCCTGGCTGCTACAAAAGAGTCAATCGAGTATATTTTATAATCTAGATGTTTGTTTGTAGAATAATATTTTTATATTTACTGTTGTTTGTAATTTATATCATTTATATATTTATATTTATATGAACCTGTGATGTAGCCATACGCTAAATAATAACCTATATTCTTAATTACTTTGTGAATCTTGTTTTGTATAACCTCCTAAGAGCTTCTTTTATATGATATACCAATATAGATTATACCTATAGCCACTGCTTAATAAAATATTCAAATCTGTTCTGTAAATAACTAAAAGAACTATTAATTTTTCCAAAAAGCTGCCTGATATTTGCCTAATAATTCGTTCTCATATTTATTTTAGTTTTTCTTTATTCTTTAATTAATTTTTCTATAATCTTAAACACTATTCCAATTCAGACGATAATAATTTTGTAATTGTTGCAGTTTGTTATATCCTTTTTTTTGCAGAATTTCTATTATGATTTGCTTCGATCATTTATCTTCACTGTCTTCTAAATTCATTCGGTACTCCATTAGACTTTGAATTTTATTTTGTTTAACTGTTTTAGTAAATTATTCATGTACTATCTTCTTCAGAAGTTTATATTGTTGTCTTGCTAGATTTGCATCCCTATCCATGAAGAATATAATTGTTTGTCGCTGTTATTTCCATCGAGCAAAAAGATAAAAGAGGGAATGTAAAGGTAGTGGGGACAAAAATATTGTTAGACAGGAAGTGCTATCTTTAGAGGCCACTTTAAACAAGGAAAGACAGTTTCTTTCCTTGTTTGAGAAGTAAAATTTAGTTTGGTTATGTTATTGTTTATCCCAACTGTCACATGAAATTTTATTTATATTGAAGTTTTTTACCAATTGTGTCACTTTTTAGACTATTATCGTTAATATTTAATTAAAACTTTCTCGTCTGAAAAATATTTTATAGCTATTGTTAATAAGTGTTGGAAAATTTAAATTTAGCGCCTTTGCATTTCCGGATATGTCCGCCATCAGACGCCACTTTTTTGGTCTCCTTTTCATAACGATTAGATTCCCTCTTTTATCTTTTTGCTCGATGGTTATTTCTCACATATTCTTACTAACTTCGATTCTTTGGGTGATTCTTCATCAAACAATCATTTTCATTTTCAATTCTGTTTTATATTTTAAAAAAATCTTTACTGATTTTGTTGATCTTACTATTTCCGACAAGAAACTACTTCTTTATGTATTCTGCCCTTTAAGAACATTGGCGACCAGTAGCATGGTCTTTACTTTGTCCGCAGCCGACCTAAATAGTCTCGTAGTGCAGTCTCAGTCTTCTCAGTCTTCAGTAGTATAGTAGTCTCTATACTACTGAAGGAGGTTATTGACCAAGATTCTTGACCAGACACTAGTGATTTCAATTTCTTATAGCCTGTTATAACTTTCGTTCTACAATATCTACAACATATTCCTTCTCCGTTTTTAAAACATCTCTTCATTGCTCGATCAATATGTTGTAAAGTCTTCTAAGTTTTTTTGTTCATTTATATTGTTTGTATAGGTGACTTAAAAGACTTATAGGTCTTTTTATTTTCTTAAGGAGGCAATATTTACGCTCTAGTTTACTTTATTTCATCCACATAATATTTTGATCTATTTTCATTGCCTTTCATATTTGGTAGTCTCTAACTTTCCCAGGATTTTTTCTCTTACTTACCATATTTTGTTACTTACTTAGAAATAATCAAGAGACGTACAGAGTACAGACACACAATTGCTAGCACATTTAGAATATATGCTCTGATTTTAAAATATAAATAAATAACTAACTGATTAAAATCATATTGCATGGGACGAATAATATTATCATATTGCTGATTTTAATTTTATACTGATACTAATCTTTCTTTGTTTTTTTTTTAGATTGCTTTCTTCGCCATCTTGGCCGCAGCCTTCGCAGTGCCAGCCCCCAACCCCAACCCCAAACCTGATCCACTAACTCTGTATTCAGCAGGTCTTCCCTTGGCATACAGCTCGTATCAACCATTATCGTACTCGAACTTGGGCTACAACTACCTCCCATACGCCTACAACTACAACTACTACAACGGATATGCACCATTGGCCTACAGGAACCTTTACTATTAGGAAGGAGAAGTCTAGTGAACATGGATCGTGACTGATAGGAATTAAGCAAATTATTTGTTTTGGAAAGATATTGTAGAAATTTGATTTGGAAGTAATAAAATGACAAAAATATTTTCTTGTTCCTTTTTAATGTATTAATAAATTATAATTCCCTAACTAAAAAAGCATATACATACTAAAATGAAACAATACTGCAATAGTAATGGTTAGAGTGTTGTTACCAGGCACCTCAAAAATGCTGTGAATAAAAATACTTAAAACAACAAATGGCGCATTTAAATTGATGAAAGTAAATCTGCCAATATTGATTTCATTTATAATAAAGTAAATAATTACATAGTTGTTCTAAATAATAAAATTATTGCTTGTAAGAAAAAAACAGTTACACCTAGAGCTACATCTGTTAAAACAAACTAAAATAAGAAGCTGTATTGGTTATTAGGAACAAGTTCACAATATATATATACATATATATATATATATATATATATAATATATATATATATATATATATATATATATATATATATGTAAATACTTTTTTCTTTTGGGTGTGGTAGTCAATAAAAAATAGAGCTTTGCTAAGGCGTACTATTTATTCTGAATTCCGAGCTTTCGGTGGTTATTTGCCACCTTTATCAAGGTCTACAATGAAAATTACTGTGTTATAACATTAGGCTGATGTAATATAAAAGTTATAAAAACTTACCAGAAAGTAAGATTCATAGCATATAAAACACAACGTTAAATAACATGATGTGATCTGAATTATTGAAGGCATTAAAAATTTTAAAAACTTTAAAATACTTAAAAATTAAAGAACATGTTACAAAGTTTAAAAAGTAAAAAATAAGACGACATGTTTGACAAAAAACAGTCGTCTTCGCAGGTTTGAATTCAGTCACATCTCACGAACAGAAAGAGGTAGTAGGAGGAACTATTGTTGTTTAAATAGTTCGATGTAACTACAAAAAACAAACTTTCAAACTGATGTCTAACAAAATGCCGTTTGTGATTTTAGGTACTACCAACCATGTTACCAACTTAGAATTGAGAGGGAAATTTAAAAAAAGGTTTTATTATTGTCAAAAAATAAAAAGAAAATAGTATTTAGTAAATAGGTTTAGAAAAAACAAACAAACAAAACAAAATGAACATCTGAATAATAACTGAAGTTAATCATGATAATTATAGCAATTGATAATGGAATTTACGAAACATGAAGCACTCTGAGATGCAGAAAACCCTAGTCAAAAGTCAAAATAAAATTGTAAATTTTGCTAAGATTCTGGATCTCAGATCTTTTATTCAGATTGTTGTTATCACTCCTGCTGATATGTACCATTTCTAAGAATGTTCTCTTAAATTTATTTTTCTCTCTGGCTAATATTTTAACATTGTTGAAATCTATCTTATGGTCTAGATCGATAGTGTGTTCTGCCAAAGCACAAGTGGGTTTATTTAGTCTACAGTCACTCTTATGAGAAATGATACGACTAGACAGATTTCTTCCAGTTTCACCAATGTACGTGGATGGACATTCAGTACATTGAATGCAATAAACAACATCTCTTGACTCTAAAGTAGTTAAGGGTTGTTTTATTTTGCTATATAGCTGACGTATGGTTTTGATGTTCTTGTTAGCTATTTTGATGTTCTTAAATTCTTTGAAAATTTTAGTAAGTTCTACGGTTAGTTTTGGAATATACGGAAGGGCATAAAAATACACACTTGTTTGAGAAGAATTGTTTTGTGCTGAGGGCACTGATTGAGAATTAGTGAGAATGTTGTTTCTGTTAACAAATGGAACATTAAAAATTAATTTATTAATCAGTCTTAGAGGATATGAATTTTCAACAAAAATATTCCGTAAGAGGTTAAGATCATGTTGGAGATGATCTGGATGTGATAACCTTTTGACACGTTCTTTCATTGCTAGGACTAGGTTGGTTTTCATTCTAGGAGGATGATGGGAATGGTAGCTTATGAATCTATTGCTACATATAGGTTTTCTATACCATTGTGTTTTCACAACATTATCCTCACATCTATGCAAACGCATGTCAAGGAAGGGCAAAGATCCCTCCCGCTCTTCCTCGCACGTGAATTGCAAGTGTGGGTTTTGTTGGTTGAAAACATTTAAAGTAAATTGTATGGAGTCTGCTGGTAGTGCCAAGATTAAGTCATCCACGTATCTTTTTATAAAAGGTATTTCAAAATTTTTCCTTTCCAACCTTTTATAAAAAGATACGTGGATGACTTAATCTTGGCACTACCAGCAGACTCCATACAATTTACTTTAAATGTTTTCAACCAACAAAACCCACACTTGCAATTCACGTGCGAGGAAGAGCGGGAGGGATCTTTGCCCTTCCTTGACATGCGTTTGCATAGATGTGAGGATAATGTTGTGAAAACACAATGGTATAGAAAACCTATATGTAGCAATAGATTCATAAGCTACCATTCCCATCATCCTCCTAGAATGAAAACCAACCTAGTCCTAGCAATGAAAGAACGTGTCAAAAGGTTATCACATCCAGATCATCTCCAACATGATCTTAACCTCTTACGGAATATTTTTGTTGAAAATTCATATCCTCTAAGACTGATTAATAAATTAATTTTTAATGTTCCATTTGTTAACAGAAACAACATTCTCACTAATTCTCAATCAGTGCCCTCAGCACAAAACAATTCTTCTCAAACAAGTGTGTATTTTTATGCCCTTCCGTATATTCCAAAACTAACCGTAGAACTTACTAAAATTTTCAAAGAATTTAAGAACATCAAAATAGCTAACAAGAACATCAAAACCATACGTCAGCTATATAGCAAAATAAAACAACCCTTAACTACTTTAGAGTCAAGAGATGTTGTTTATTGCATTCAATGTACTGAATGTCCATCCACGTACATTGGTGAAACTGGAAGAAATCTGTCTAGTCGTATCATTTCTCATAAGAGTGACTGTAGACTAAATAAACCCACTTGTGCTTTGGCAGAACACACTATCGATCTAGACCATAAGATAGATTTCAACAATGTTAAAATATTAGCCAGAGAGAAAAATAAATTTAAGAGAACATTCTTAGAAATGGTACATATCAGCAGGAGTGATAACAACAATCTGAATAAAAGATCTGAGATCCAGAATCTTAGCAAAATTTACAATTTTATTTTGACTTTTGACTAGGGTTTTCTGCATCTCAGAGTGCTTCATGTTTCGTAAATTTCATTATTAAATGCTATAATTATCATGATTAACTTCAGTTATTATTCAGATGTTCATTTTGTTTTGTTTGTTTGTTTTTTCTAAACCTATTTACTAAATACTATTTTCTTTTTATTTTTTGACAATAATAAAACCTTTTTTTAAATTTCCCTCTCAATTCTAAGTTGGTCACATGGTTGGTAGTACCTAAAATCACAAACGGCATTTTGTTAGACATCAGTTTGAAAGTTTGTTTTTTGTAGTTACATCGAACTATTTAAACAACAATAGTTCCTCCTACTACCTCTTTCTGTTCGTGAGATGTGACTGAATTCAAACCTGCGAAGACGACTGTTTTTTGTCAAACATGTCGTCTTATTTTTTACTTTTTAAACTTTGTAACATGTTCTTTAATTTTTAAGTATTTTAAAGTTTTTAAAATTTTTAATGCCTTCAATAATTCAGATCACATCATGTTATTTAACGTTGTGTTTTATATGCTATGAATCTTACTTTCTGGTAAGTTTTTATAACTTTTATATTACATCAGCCTAATGTTATAACACAGTAATTTTCATTGTAGACCTTGATAAAGGTGGCAAATAACCACCGAAAGCTCGGAATTCAGAATAAATAGTACGCCTTAGCAAAGCTCTATTTTTTATTGACTACCACACCCAAAAAGAAAAAAGTATTTACATATATTTTTTTCCAAACTAGTCAAAAAACTTTGGACTACCTTGTCTATATATATATATATATATATATTATATATATATATATATATATATATATATATATATATATATATATATATAACACTGTTTTTGATTTGTTGGAGTCAATAAAAGGGGCTATTTGTTGACTATTTTTTACTCGAGCTTTCAATTGTGATTACAATTTTTATCAAGAGCTTCTAAAAAATACAAAATGTCTTACAAAGTTGAACTAGAAATAAAAAATTTTTTGTTAACTCACCAAATAAAATTAGTTTTTTTATATAAAACTACTGCTTACATAATAAATACAAAAAATATTTATAAAAAAATGCCTTATTCTAATAAATGTTTCTCTGAAAAATTTAGATGAAGTTTCTTAAGATAAAAAAATTGAATTTATAAACAAAAATAGAATAGCTACAACCAGCCTAAAATGACATAAATACTAACTTAAAAATTTTTATTTTTGACATATTGTCAAAAATAAAATTTTGTTTAAAAAAATTCTTCTTTGTTAAGTAACAAAAAAGAAGAAGATTTATTCACCATTGGTAGATGCCCGAAAAAATGTAACAAATACATGGAAAATTCAAAATGTGATATTTTACTGACTGTATAAATTAAATAGAAATTATATAATTATAAATTTTGCTTAAATTTTGAATTTCTGACCTTTTGTTTAAATTATTATCACTTTTGCTAATACAAACCATTTCCAAAAAAGTTCTTTTAAATTTATTACTTTCATTACATAAAATTTTAATATTATCAAAATCCATAATATGGTCTTTGTGAATATCAATGGTGAATAAATCTTCTTCTTTTTTTGTTATTTAACAAAGAAGAATTTTTTAAACAAAATTTTATTTTTGACAATATGTCAAAAATAAAAATTTTTAAGTTAGTATTTATGTCATTTTAGGCTGGTTGTAGCTATTCTATTTTTGTTTATAAATTCAATTTTTTTTTCTTAAGAAACTTCATCTAAATTTTTCAGAGAAACATTTATTAGAATAAGGCATTTTTTTATTAATATTTTTTGTATTTATTATGTAAGCAGTAGTTTTATATAAAAAAACTAATTTTATTTGGTGAGTTAACAAAAAATTTTTTATTTCTAGTTCAACTTTGTAAGACATTTTGTATTTTTTAGAAGCTCTTGATAAAAATTGTAATCACAATTGAAAGCTCGAGTAAAAAATAGTCAACAAATAGCCCCTTTTATTGACTCCAACCCATCAAAAACAGTGTTATATTTTTTCCAAACGAGTCACAAGTACTTCTTTTTTCTTACTCTTATATATATATATATATATATATATATATATATATATATATATATATATATATATATATATATATACTCAATATTCTGTGTATTAAACATATTTAAAACATATTTTACAGTGTTTTTATCTTATATGTGCAAAAGATGGGCCCGATCGGTGGAGTAGTTTTTAAACAGTTCTATTTGTTTATTCCATTTGAGAAAAAAAAGGTCGTGTTCAAATGGCTGTACACATGCTTTGTCAATACGTAGAAGGGTTTTTTGTTTACATTCTCTTTTAAATGTCTCAAATTTTCATGTTATTAAATAAACATTTTAATTTTTAATTGTTTACTTACAAATAATTGATGCAGAATGAAGAAGCACCATTTTCGAATTACAAACATTTAAATTTTTTGCGCCGTTTTAACCTTTACAAAAAAAAATACAAAATGCATTATCTAAACGTTACAAAGATCACACAAAAATCAAAAAAAAAGTTTGTATGGCCCATAGAAGCAGAGATATATTTTTTTAAATTCACAGAGCAATTGTTTATAAACATTAAGAACTGAAATTTGGGCAGTTTGTCAATGAAGTTTCAGTATTACATGTGAATAACTACTGAAATTTAGACTACAAGTTTAATATTTGCATAATTAAAATAGTGGAAACTTGTATTATGGATAATATGAAAACTAATATTATACTTTTCTGTCAATTGGTACAGAACCAAAATTTTAAATCCTGTTTTGTTTAAAGGTTAATCTCATGTAAGTAAGTAATGTTGATCAAAATTAAAATATTTTGATTTATAATAATTGTTTAAATTGCTACAAATAGCGCCAACCTAAGGTTTTTTGATAAATTTAAATAATTTTGTTCGTAATAACTGTTTCTGTTAAATAATAAATATGTAATGTTTCTCCTTAAACTAGGAGTTTAAAATGATTTCCTTTCAACAGATTTTCACCCTAAACAGTTTTTTAGGAAGCAAAAGCCTTTTTTGCTATTCAGCAAGTGGATTTTTTTAAAGGGCGTCCAATTTTGATAGTTTAGGGATATTCTTGTGTTTGTGAGCCAGAAACTTTCTGTAAGTATTTTTTATTTCCTTTTTGTATAGTTTGTTTCCCAGTTCCTCAAATAAAGAAAACTTATTCACAACCCAGCTCTCCAACCAAAACAAGAGTAGCCGTTCACAAATGTTTCAGTTTATTTGCTTACCCTATCTCCAGCCCAGTTTTTGTTCAGTCCTTCCCTTCCAACCCCCTATAAGCAATCATGTATTGTTAAGTGACACCCAATGTGGTAGGCAAATTAAATTGCTTCACATTTATAAATTAGGTAGGTAATAAAAAAATAATGACCTGCCACCTAATGCCATACAACAATGGACAAAAATGGAATACTATCAGGAGCAGGGAAATTATTTTATTTTCGGAAAGCTTTCGGTAATTTGACACAGTACGGCATTAAATCTACTAAAAATGTCCCATAAGCTTGTAGTCTATAAAAGGCAAAGGCAATGACTTCTATTCACCCCGTATCGTAATATATTTCGGCACAGTATTTTAGTTATCTTTAAATTAAAATAAATCCACATTTCTAGTAAACTTTATTACAATATCAGACAGAATCTCACTTTTCAGTAAGTGTTTACAGTTGCGACCTTCACGCACTGGACGATTTTTATTAATGCTGCTTTTCATATTTGTTACTAATAAATAAACTATAAGAAAATTAAATATTTCACCAGGAAAACCTTATAACTTCTTAATATATTTGTTGTTATTAGTACCATCTAATTTAACCAACAAATTTTAATGGTAGCTGTAACTATAAGGAAATACTTTTTAATTGCTAATTAAATATATAATATTTCTTGTTAAACAATTTAGATTTTTATTATTTTTGAATAAAACGGAAATAAAAAATACTTGTTTGGTATCTTACAGGCAATAAAATCAGGGCTGGGTTGCTATAAAAGGTGAAGTCTTCGCAAGTCTTTTGTCATTTGATTACTCCAGAATCAAAACAACACATTACCAAAATGTTCAAATTCGTAAGTATTTTATATAATTATTTATTTTAATTTGTTAATATATCTAAACATGTACTATAAGATATTAGTATTTTTTTCGTTGTTATTTTGCAATCAAAATGTGTAGTTATCTTAAGTAAACCAGTTTTATTGGTTTTGGATAATCAATAAGTTTCATAGCAATATTATTCGCCTATTGTTTTATCCATTGGTTTACTATGTATTTTACAGTACTAAAGTTATAATTACAATTTTTCTATCGGCTGTTCTACCTAACTTCTATCTGTTTCTATTTTTTTCATTGCTCTGTTTCTTTCTCCCCTAAAGTAAGTTCTAGATTTTCCTCTGTTTATTCTTCCTGTCGAACCTAACTCTGAGATTTTGTTTATACAGTATCCTGAATCCTCTTTACTTACATAACAATATTTACATATTTTTCATGGCACTTCAGCCCAAATCGAGCCTTGGCCTCCTCCAAACTATGCCTCCAACCTTACTGGTCCAACTCTTCTTCAGGTTCTTACGTCTAGAAAAGTTTGCGCGTCAGCTGCCAGTTTATCCTCCCACGTTTGACATAGCGTTGCGCCCTGCATTTTACTATTTAGAACTCTTTTTGGTCATCTTTTGGTCTTAAACAGTTGGTAGAATTCATGGGTATACCTGGATCTCCATGCTCCGTTTTCATTAATAGGTCCAAATATCTTTCTTAGGACATTTCTTTCGAAGATTTCCAGCTTTCATGTTGTGTCTTCTGTCATCACAAATGTCTCGTATTCATAACACTATTGGTCTAATATTAGATTTGAAGACCTTGATTTTCGATCTTCAGTGTGTGTTTTTGGAGAGAAACTGTCTATTTTTAATATCGTTCCCTAATTCAACTGTGCGTTTATTTCTCCTAGCTCTTGTCTTTTTTGTCTTTTGAATTGAATATTTATTTTTAGTCCGGTCTCTTTTGCCTCTGTTTTTAATTGTAAATATATTTCTGCCGCCTCTTATGTTCTGCGATACATAATGCTTATATCATCGGCATAGGTGGCAATCTGTATTGCTTTATTTGTTAGGAGATTACCTATTCCTGTATTCAGATGCATTGTTACATATTCAAGAGTTAGGTTGAATAGTGTCGGTACCAGCGGTTTCCTTGCTTTAATTCTTTGACTATTGAAAAGTTCTCAGTAAGCTAATTTTGTACTCTGACAGTTGCTTTTGACGATTCCATTGTTGCTTTTACTAGTTGAATTTATTTTTGGAGGATGCTAAAGCTGTGGAATATTTTATACAACTTTTGTCTATTAATTGAGTCGTAGGCCCATTTAAAATCTATGAATATGTTGTGGAGATCATTTTCGGATTTCCACGATGTGTTTCAAATTTGTTTCACTATGAATAGCTTATCAGTTGTAGATCTTCCTTATCGGAAACCCATAATATTTCCAGTTAGTGGTTGGAGTCGTTTGTTTAGTATGTTAGTAAAAACTTTACCAGGTGTATAGTTCATAGAGGAAGTTGTCAATAGCCTCTTCTTTTTATTGCGCCGTCACCTTTCGAAGGTTAGCAATATAAATGGCCATTTTTTTTATTGAGTTAATGCCTCGACAACTATGATCATTGGCATGGTACAGTCAGGTACCTAGTGTAGTGTGTGTGTGTAGAGTAATTGTCTTGATACTTAGCAAAGTTGACGTCAATGGGTGGAATGCATAATACGTAGTAGATGCTATTGCTTCACCAAATAGTATCTAGTTTGTAGCATTTTCTTTTACATAAAAGGAGGTGCTTTGTTGAAAAGACCGTACTACACAACCGAAGTGCCTGAACTTAAAACTGCACGATTCATGATAATTATCTAAATATTTTACGATAAAATATCGTCATTGTATATTCTTCTTGGTTTGTAGATTTTTCTTAGACAAACATTCATAAATGCTGCCATTTTTTTACAAATGTCGTTCATCCACAAACTTTACCTAAACTTAAGCAAATTCTACTAAACAAGCAAATACTTCAAAAGCGTAGTACATCCTTCTATGTATCTAGTAAATAGTAGCAAATACTACGGAGGAAAGCAAAATGCTTTGTAAGTGTAGCAAGTACTAAAAAAATGTAGAATTACTTGAAGCATTAGCAGATACTACGTTTTATGCATTCCACCCATTGTCTTTGCTAAGAGACGCTAATTGTATCCGAACGTCTGCGGTCCCTCTGGTGAGTACCGATCGCACAACGATAGAAATTATTTTCATTCGTTAATTAATTTTTAATAAACGAAAATTTCTCCACCCTGATGAGATTCGAACTCACGACCTTTAGGTTTAAAGGTAGGCGCTCTTACCACTGAGCCACAGAGGGGGTTCTAAATGGCCATTGTTGCTTTGGAAGGTGCTGCACGAAAGATTTCTAGGTTTGCTCGCTTTTGGTCCCAAATATTTTATGGAAGTTACCTGTTCTATTATTTGTTCCTTGGCGTGCACATTTACGTTTTTTGGTATCTTTGAAAATACTAGAATATTAGTTTTGGAGATATTTAGATGTAAATCGAACATTTCGTTATGACGAACTACCGCATTTATTATATTTTGTAGTTCTTGTGCGTTTCTTGCCATTATGACGGTATCATCAGCGTACCTGATGTTGTCTATGCTGATTCCGATAATTTTGATTCCACCTTGAATCTCGTCTAATGCTTTTCTAAATATAGATTCCGAATATAGAATAAATAACAGTGGTGATAAGAGTGTAACCTTGTCACACTCCTCGTCGGATTCGTATATTTGCGGATGTTGTGTACGGAACAAGTCTTGTTTGTCAATTCCAGTTCTTCTCAGAATTTCGATCATCTTTTAATGACTAACACAGTCAAATGCTTTTCGATAATTAATAAAACATGCATATACATCTACATTCATGTCTCTGCATCGTTGTGTTACCACATTTAAGGCAAAAAGAGCTTCTCGTGTTCCCAATCCATGTCGAAATCCGAATTAAGTGTCGCTCATCTGAAACTCACACTTCTTGTAAATTCGTATATGAATGATTTTGAGAAAAGGCAGTGTGAGGCATTGGATTTTTTTGGTAATGTTATGAATGCTAATTTTAGCTTATCTGATGGTATTTTATCTGTGTCATATATCTTATTGAATAGTGCAGTTATTAAGTCGAGACTTTTACTTTCGTTGTCTGCAATTAATTTAAGTATTTCGACATTGATATTGTCTGGACTGGTGGCTTTTTCGTTCTTCTGAGCTTCTTCTGCATAAATAACTTCTTCTTTTGTTATTTTTGGACCTTTTTCATTTATTCATCATCCGTCGATAGTGAAGAACAAGGTCAATCAGCGTCAAAAAGTATCTGAATGTATTCTTTTCATATTTCCAGTTTGTTTTCTGTACCTATAATATATTATCTCGTTATTATTTCAATATTGTTTCTTGTCTCTTTCTGGTTTGTTTTATGTATTCGTCTTACGTCCATGAGGTCAATGATCTCTTGCGTTGTCAATACTTGAATTCTTCTTTTGTGCTTCTTGTTATTTTACCTATTCCGTTGCGGTGGGTTCTACATTTTCACTGTCTCCCGCAATGTGATGCATGTACACATGCTCTTCATTTTCTTGCGTCCCTAAAAGATTATTTCTCTTGAATCACTGGTTACTTTCCAGTCTTGATTCCTGTATAGGTTTTTTCTGGGTTTGTATCCTTCTGTCTTATTAATATTTTCGATTTCCTTCCATTTTCTTTATATTATCCTTTTCATATTTTATTTTCTTTGTTCTGCTCTCCGTCTTTCATCTTCGTGGTTTGCTCTTGCTGTCTCTGGTTCTTCTTTCCATATATTTTTTGTGTTATTAATTTCTTTTTTGTGTGGCCTTTTTACTCTCGGTATTTAACCATTATCTTTTAAATTTTCCTTTTTTATTCTATGATATTTCTTGCTACGTCAATTACTTTTGTTTTGATTTTTTCCAATGTTCTTCGGTGACTAGACTGCCTCTATTTGTGAGTGTTTGTATTATTTCTGTCCTATAGTTCTATTTGATATCTTTGATATCTAATTTTTGTATATCTAGTCATTCAGTGGTTTGTTTCTTGTCTCTCTGCATCTGCATTTTATCTTACTAGGACTGTTAAAAAGTTGACTTACGCCTATAAAAACGGATGTATTCCATAAAAAAATAAAATAAAACGTCAATTTTTCTAATTCACTAATAATACAAATATTTATTAATTATTAATCAGATAACTTGAATTATTCATTTGAAAAATGACTTACTATTACCTAGAAATTTAAACAACCAACTGAGAAATTATAATCCCAAAATTTTGGGATGTAAGAGAAGGAATTGAACATTTTATCACATTTTTATCAATTTGTCAGATTAACGTTTTTGAAACTATCAGTCACAAAACATAATCATTTGTTAATATTTTAATTATTTTAGGTGATTCTTTTCGTCGCCCTCTTCGCTTTGGCATCTGCTGTCCCTAAACCTCTTTCTCTAGTGTCAAGCAGCCCTTACTACGGATCTGCTGTCGCTTACTCTGGATATCCCGGATATGGTTATGCCCAAGCTGGTCCCTACAGCTTAGGTTACTCTGGATACTCCGGCGCTTACCCATATGCATACTCAGGATTGTACAATAACGGAGTATACGGATATTCTGGACTCTACAACGGTGGAGTTAATGCTTATTCTGGACTTTACAACAACGGACTATATAGATCACCTTTGGCATATTACTAAGGATGTTTAGATATAGATAATAAACGCATTAAATAATATGAAGTTTATTTTTGTTACTTACTAAACTTTTCTACCAATTATATCATTTTCCTACAAATTATTCATTTTAAATATTTTTTACCGAGGAAAGATTTTCGTAATATTGTTCTGAAGATGGTTCTTGGTGGCCTAGTTAAGTAATTGATCCAATTTTCAGAACAGTTTTAGAGCTGAAATGTCATTGATAGTATGGTCTGTTTTTAAACCAGGAGGAGTAATTCAAATTTTCCGCGCCATATTGCTTTTTTGTATTATTGACAATTTTTTTGTATTTTCTGTGTTATTTCTTACATCTTTAGATTTTTCGTTTGCATTTATATAAAAAACAGTTCTTTTCAGAACTATTTAGCCACATATTAGTGTTATTAAGATAACAATATGGATTCAATGCCAAGTACTAGTGGTAATTATTCTTCTAAACCTTAAAAACGCCGAGTAGATTTGGATCATTTATCATCAAATGAGAAATAATGTACTATAAACATGTACAAATATGAAAATTGATAATTCTGGAATAAAAATAACAGCCACGGTAGTAAAAATAAAACAGGCAGCAGGTTAGTTTTACTGAATAGTTATTATTAAAATCAAGACTTACTAAAGTAATGTGCTAATTTTAGGTGTTGCGAATTCAACTATTTACAACAATAGAATTTAGAAGAATTAAAGAATATAAGCAGACTGGAGCAGTAAAATGTCCTAAAAATATTGAAGGTCGACCTTATATTCTTGCAACATAGGATGAAAGAATTAAAATATCTATACGACAGATAGTACACAGCTTAATTTTCAAGAATGAAATGCTCACTTTAGGTAAAATTTTAAGTGAAATTAACAACCGCTCAGATCTTCCAAAATATGTGTCGTTCATTATTATATAAATTCTTGAAGCAAATCAATTTGAAGTAAGTACAAATATCGGTATGTAAATATGGGTTAGCTGCAATTATATAGTAAAATTAACTTAAACATTTTATAGATTTCATTTTTATTATCAGGTATATTATTGTTACTATTAAATATTAAGTTTTAAGTTTTTATTTGTATACTGTACTGGAATGTTGTCAAGTATTTTGGTTCAACAGATATAAGAACATGGAAAGGGAAGAAAAGGAAAAAAAGGATATTTTTACTTTACATATAATGCAGCAAATATTATATAGCATAACTATAGATTGTTTATCTTACTGTTTATAGGATGCTTGATTTATTGTCTATATTATGAATGTCTTACCATAGTTATTTTTTAGGGGAAATTATTCAAAGAATAGTTTATACATTGGGCTGCTGACCAAAAACAAAACTTTCTTGCTCAAATATCTGAAATGTATTCAGTTTTTGCTGAAAAAATAAATCAAGAAATTCAAAATGGTGTAGTTGTTCATTAATCCCACCAAGACATAAATGGAGAGATTTTGGAAGACTAATAAAATTATTAAATCTTTATTTTACATTCATTCCGAATATATATTATGCACAGAATATTATATAAATCGATTTCTGACTTTTTAAGTTGTTTTTGTAATAACTTGGACTTGGTGATATGTGATATTTTCCAGCTGATATATATATATATATATATATATATTATATATATATATATATATATATATATATATATATATATATATATAACACTGTTTTTGATGGGTTGGAGTCAATAAAAGGGGCTATTTGTTGACTATTTTTACTCGAGCTTTCAATTGTGATTACAATTTTTATCAAGAGCTTCTAAAAATACAAAATATCTTACAAAGTTGAACTAGAAATAAATAATGTTGTTGTTAACTCACCAAATAAAATTAGTTATTTATATAAAACTGCTGCTAACATTATTACAAAAAATATTATTAAAAAAATGTTCTATTCTAATAAATGTCTCTCTGACAAATTTAGATAAAGTTTCTTAACAAAAAACAATTGAATTTGTAAACAAAAATTGAATAGCTACAATTCAGCCTAAATGTCGTAAATAACAACTTAAAAATTTTATTTTTGACATATTGTCAAAAATAAAATTTTTGTTTAAAAAATTCTTCTTTGTTTAGTAACAAAAAAGAAGAAGATTTATTCATCATTGATAAATGCCCGAAAAAATGTAACAAATACATGGAAAATTCAAAATGTGATATTTTACTGACTGCATAAATTAAATAGAAATTATATAATTATGTAAAATATACTAAAATATACTAAATGTACAAACGTCATTACAAACTTTTTACATAAAGAAGTCAAAGATCATTTTTTAAATAAATATTATTTACAAACTAAACTTTTTCTTAAAAACCATCCTGAAATTTATATTGTCAAAAGCGATAAAGGTAACGTAACTGTTGTAATGTATAAAGAGGATTACCTACAAAAAACTGGAGAACTCTTAAATGATACTAAGTATTACACTACACTTAGAAGGAGTCCTGTTTGTACTTTACAACAAAAAGCAAATTGTCTGGTATCAAAATTAAACAGTAAGAAATTTATTGATAATAAAAAAGCAAAAGAACTCAAAATTTATAATTCTATTGCACCACGGTTTTATGCTCTACCTAAAATACATAAACCAACTTTATCTATGAGACCAATTGTTTCATCTCTATGCCCTCCAAATGGACCAATAGCACAGCTCCTCACTGACATCTTAACCAATGCTTATAATTTAAACAACAATTTTTACATAAAAGATTCATTTGATTTTAGTTCTTTCATTAATAATTTCCAATTACCACAAAATTATGTTTTAGTTAGTTTTGATGTAACATCTCTTTTTACTAATTTACCTTTAAATTTAATCATAAGTAGTGTTGAAAAACATTGGAATGAGATTTCGCAACATACTAATATTGACTTATTACATTTTAAAACACTCATCAACTTTGTTTTTGATTCTAATATTTTTATATTTAATGGTGTTTTTTATAAACAAATTTTTAGTAGCCCTATGGGATCTAGTCTTTCACCCATTCTAAGTAGCTATGTCATGGATGATGTTATTAGTGATTGTATCAATAATTGCACTTTTTTCATTCCATTTATCAAAAGATATGTAGATGATCTAGTTTTGGCACTTCCTAAACACAAAATTCTTGAAACAGTCAACATTTTCAACAATCATAATCAACATATACAATTTACAGTTGAGGAAGAGGTAGATAATTCTCTACCATTCCTTGACATGAAAATTGTAAGAAATACAGACAATATGTTGAAAACTAGATGGTTCAGAAAACCCATATGTAGTAATAGATTTATAAGCTATTACTCTAATCATCCAAATAAAATGAAAATGAACCTTATAACAGGATTAAAGGAACGTGTTTTAAAACTTTCTCATCCAGACTATCTACAAGAAGATCTTCATTTGTTAAAAAATATTTTAATTGAAAACTCTTATCCTCCTGATATGCTACATAGGATGCTTTTTTCTAATTTATTAAATATAAATAACTTAAACACCATTTTTTGCTCAATCTCAAAACACTGTATCCAACAATCAAAACATATATTATCATTCACTACCTTTTATACCATCTTTAACTCCTAAATTAATACAAACATTAAAGGTTATTGACAATATAAAAATAGCAACAAAGAACATCAAAACTATTTCATCTTTATATTCCAAAACTAAATATCCTATAGACAAATTAGATCAAACAAATGTAGTATACAGCATTGTTTGTACTCAGTGTGAAGCTGAGTATATTGGTGAGACTGGAAGAAATCTCTCAAATCGCATTATTTCTCATAAGAGTGATTGTAGAATTAAGAAACCATCTTGTGCTTTGGCAGAGCATGTAATAGACAAAGACCATATTATGGATTTTGATAATATTAAAATTTTATGTAATGAAAGTAATAAATTTAAAAGAACTTTTTTGGAAATGGTTTGTATTAGCAAAAGTGATAATAATTTAAACAAAAGGTCAGAAATTCAAAATTTAAGCAAAATTATAATTATATAATTTCTATTTAATTTATGCAGTCAGTAAAATATCACATTTGAATTTTCCATGTATTTGTTACATTTTTTCGGGCATTTATCAATGATGAATAAATCTTCTTCTTTTTTGTTACTAAACAAAGAAGAATTTTTTAAACAAAAATTTTATTTTTGACAATATGTCAAAAATAAAAATTTTTAAGTTGTTATTTACGACATTTAGGCTGAATTGTAGCTATTCAATTTTTGTTTACAAATTCAATTGTTTTTTGTTAAGAAACTTTATCTAAATTTGTCAGAGAAGACATTTATTAGAATAGAACATTTTTTTAATAATATTTTTTGTAATAATGTTAGCAGCAGTTTTATATAAATAACTAATTTTATTTGGTGAGTTAACAACAACATTATTTATTTCTAGTTCAACTTTGTAAGATATTTTGTATTTTTAGAAGCTCTTGATAAAAATTGTAATCACAATTGAAAGCTCGAGTAAAAAATAGTCAACAAATAGCCCCTTTTATTGACTCCAACCCATCAAAAACAGTGTTATATTTTTTCCAAACGAGTCACAAGTACTTCTTTTTTCTTACTCTTATATATATATATATATATATATATATATATATATATATATTTATATATATATATAATAATAAATAATAATAAATAGAGTTTACAGTGTTTATAATGTATGATATTTATATTTAATTATCATAAATTTTTTTTGTTCTTCCTGTTGTAGATCATCACAAGAAAACTACAAAATTATACTAGAATGTAACATAAGAGATTGAATTAGTTGATTATCTCACAGAAATCCAGTATTTTTTAGTAAATTTTATTTATTGATAACAAATGGGACAAACTCACTGTCAAAATTAAACAAGAATCCAGCATTAAAGAAATTGCAAGTACACACTTATTTATACAAATTTATTGTTTTGCATTTTAGTGCTTCAAATAGATCCTTAAGATATTGATACATAAGTTAAATCTATCTAATGAGGTAACTGAT